TGTCCTTCCTGAAATAAAATAATAATAACAATGCTTTTGATTGTCTGTTTGAGATGCAGAAAGTTCACTCTCCCTTCGTCAAGGGACAAACCGATACGACAAAAGGAGATGTCTTTTCATCCTGAGTGTCCAAAAGATTCAGATTGTGGCCGACTTGGGAAAGAAGCCAGCGTTCAGTGGAAAGGGAAGCGGGATCCTCGGCAAAGCTGTTGCAGTCCTGAAACAAGAGGGAGAAGAGCATGCTTGAAAATAAAGCAAAAGTTTGAGTGTGAGTCCAACGCCAAAAGGCTTTAATCCAACACAGCAATTTAGTCTGTCATTGAGAAATCAACTCAGCCCTCAAGTTTCATTAAATCAACAAACACCCGGGGCAGAAATCAATAAGTGAGTCGAAGAAATGGTTGCATAACTGGCTCTTTGGAAAGTCTAGGTGGACTCCCCAACTGGGGGCATTGAACTGAATGTTTTCTTCTCCTCCCCAAGCCAACAAAAGCAAAAGATATCTAAGAGGCACAGATTTGATTTCGGAAAATGATGCTGTGAAAAAAGAGGAAGGAAGAGGAAGAAGAAGAGCTGTAAACCAGGAACAGATCATTTCAATTCTATGGTTGTTGGATCTTGCAGACCACAATTTGCTACATCCAGTCAAAATTCAGTGGCAGCTGGAAGGGTGAAAGTCCCAGTTCAGAGATAGATAGATAGATAGATAGATAGATAGATAGATAGATAGATAGATTCCAGTCAATGACCAGCATCATGGGGTTATCTGGCTTCTATAAAATATTTTTTACGGGCCAGGCCCGTAGCCAGCATTTCGTTTCGGGGGGGGGGGGTGAATTGGGGTGGGGGTGGGGGGTGGGGGGTGAGTTTGGTTCGGGGGGGGGCTGAGTCTGAGTGAAAGAGGGTCTAGCCTAGCAAACCTTTTGTATCATTACCCCAATACCCCCATGCATATGGGATATATTGAGTATGGTGATCAGATCATGATATGAATAAACATAACAGTTTAAGTAATGCACCAGTAAGGCCTTTTCGTGAACCACCATGAGAATTTCGGGGGGGGGGGGGCTGAAGCCCCCCAAGCCCCCCCCCCCCCCCCGGCTACATGCCTGGACTCTGCTATTAAGAAGTTTAATCCTTTTTTCCATATGCACTCCCATTTCTCTAATTCTATGTTTGTCCCCAACAAATCATGACAGGTTTTATTTTATTGTTTTCTAGATTATATTCTAGAATTTATATAAATAAAAATGTAATGTTCATTTGTGGGGTTAACATAACTCAAAAACCACTGAACCCACTGACACGAAATTTGGACACAATACACCAATCAGGCCATCGAGTGACCATCACTCCTAAAAACACTGAAAAATACAACAGAAGGGACTTAAAACGCCAAAAAAGCAAAAAGACACTACAGCACATGCGCAAAACGACTTTCTCTGACAAACAAAACACACAAAAGCATATCCACACTTTTGGAGTACAGCTCCCGGCATCCACAAGACCAGGCCCTTTAAGAGAGGATGACCCAAATGCACTGTTTCCAAGCTGCAAGCTTTCTTCTCCTTGGATTTCTCTGAGATCATCCCAGTCCCTGAATATTTCCAATTTCCTATTCCTGGACTGCAACTGCCAGCAATCCTCCAGATAAGATAGATTAGACAGAGATAGGTAGATAGGTAGGTAGGTAGATGATCAGGAGGACTGCTGGGAGTTGCAGTCCAAGAGTAAGTAGAGAAGGAAGAAAGGAGAGAAAGAGGAAGGGAAAGAAAAGGGGGGAAGGAAGGGAAGAAGAAGAGAAGGAATAATTGAAACATAGAATCAAAGAGTTGGAAGGGACCTCCTGGGCCATCCAGTCCAACCCCTTTCTGCCAAGAAGCAGGAATATTGCATTCAAATCACTCCTGACAGATGGCCATCCAGCCTCTGTTTAAAAGCTTCCAAAGAAGGAGCCTCCACCACACTCCGGGGCAGAGAGTTCCACTGCTGAACAGCTCTCACAGTCAGGAAGTTCTTCCTCATGTTCAGATGGAATCTCCTCTCTTGTCGTTTGAAGCCATTGTTTCGCGTCCTAGTCTCCAGGGAAGCAGAAAACAAGCTTGCTCCCTCCTCCCTGTGGCTTCCTCTCACATATTTATACATGGCTATCATATCCCCTCTCAGCCTTCTCTTCTTCAGGCTAAACATTCCCAGCTCCTTAAGCCGCTCCTCATAGGGCTTGTTCTCCAGACCCTTGATCATTTTAGTCACCCTCCTCTGGACACATTCCAGCTTGTCAATATCTCTCTTGAATTGTGGTGCCCAGAATTGGACACAATATTCCAGGTGTGGTCTAACCAAAGCGGAATAGAGGGGGAGCATTACTTCCCTGGACCTAGACACTATGCTCCTATTGATGCAGGTCAAAATCCCATTGGCTTTTTTTGCCACCACATCACATTGTTGGCTCATGTTTAACTTGTTGTCCACGAGGACTCCAAGATCTTTTTCACACGTACTGCTCTCGAGCCAGGCGTCCCCCATTCTGTAGCTTTGCATTTCATTTTTTCTGCCAAAGTGGAGTATCTTGCATTTGTCACTGTTGAACTTCATTTTGTTAGTTTTGGCCCATCTCTCTAATCTGTCAAGATCGTTTTGAATCTTGCTCCTGTCCTCTGGAGTATTGGCTATCCCTCCCAATTTGGTGTCGTCTGCAAACTTGATGATCATGCCTTCTAGCCCTTCATCTAAGTCATTAATAAAGATGTCGAACAGGACCGGGCCCAGGACAGAACCCCGCTGATGGCACTCCGCTAGTCACTTTTTTCCAGGATGAAGAGGAAGCATTAGTGAGCACCCTCTGGGTTCGTCCATTTAACCAATTACACATCCACCTCACCGAAGGAAGGAAGGAAGGAAGGAAGGAAGGAAGGAAGGAAGGAAGGAAGGAAGGAAGGAAAGAAGGAGGGAAGGAAGGAAGGAAGGAAGGAAGGAAGGAGAGAAAGAAAGAACAAGGGAGGGAAGGTTGACCACAGCAATGTGTGGCGGGTACAGCTAGTGTATCTATATAATCTGGAGAATAAGGGCCCTTCCAGACAAGCCTTCTGTGATGAATCTAACCTTTTGCCAGGAAGGCCGAAGCCTGGAAAGTCAGTAGCTGACATGTTGAGAGATAGGCAGGAGAGCTAAGAGGCAAGAGGGAGGAGTCAGCTGACTCCTGATTGGCTAGAGCAGTCAGGGGAGGAGTTAGGTTTTAGAGGGGAAAAAGGCTGTGTCTTTTGACAAGCTGGGAGGAGAGCTTTAAACATCGTAGAGTAAAGAAGTATTTTAGGAAGAGGGAGCTGAGAGGAACTTAGACAAGGAGAGAGAACTTTTGAAGTGAGCCTTCGGGTTAGAGCATAGGAAAGGAAAAGTTTCCTGAGTCACTGTACATAGTAGGGTCAGTGAAGGAAAGCCTGGTTTGCTCTGTGAGACAGTCAGTAGGCTGTTCTCAGGGACACACTGTGTCAGTGTAGTGAACAATATGAAGCAAGGAACTCACAAGAAACAAAAGTTAAAGTCTTGAGAGAAGACTACTTGTCTAAACAGCTAAGCCTCAAGTAACCGCATTACGCTTTTGTACCACTCTTATTAAGAGTTGATTTATTCACCAAGTTTAAATAAACCTGTTTCTAATTTCATCTTAAACTGGTGTCTGCCTCGGTCTGTCCTACACATTAGATCTCAGCTAGCCTAAAGAAAACTCCCTTCAGTCCAGTCAGTGAGAGAAACAGCCATTAAAGAAGATCCAAAGGCTTGAACAAATTTACCAAATTTCACATTCACACTTATGTTTTCCTCAGACATTAATTGAGGTGGTGGCGGTGAAACTACCAATTACTTCGGTAATTAACATCGTTAGCACAGTTGGTCACTTAACAGTATTACTGAGGAGAGATTAGAGAGTCTTTCCCCCTTTGTCACAGTCATTTATCGTCGTTAAAATAGTGTCCAGCTGAACGTTAACGCTTTACACTGGTGGGCAGTAGGGGGATTGCTTGTCCCCTCTGCCCAAGGTGTCGTTGATCTTTATTATACCCTCTATCTCAGGATCTGATCCAAGGTTTTCTGTTTATTCCGAGTTATCTGGCAGTGCTGATTTATATAATCCAGTTTAAAGAAGAAAACCTGGGATCAGATCCAGGGATATAGAGCCTGTCTGAAAGGGCCCTAAGCCCTTATTTCCCATATCAAAAATTACACTCTAACCTAGATTTCTTTTGGATCTTTTATGAATCTATTGTGTAGTTGATAAAACCGAAGCCAATCGTTGATATCTAGTCCTTCTCTTCTTTTTGGGTTCCAATGATCTTTTTCTTTAAATAGAGATTCCCTATAAGATCCTATTTCCTCTTGTAGACGCAGTAAACCCTGGGCAAAGCACTAGAGGGACCACGCGAGTGTCATGGAGCGGGATCACTTCCTTTCCATCTCCAAATATGGAGGCTGGAGGCTGAGAGGACAAGCAAGATTACGGGGATAAACATTCGAGATAAAATTCTCTGTGTAAGAGAGAATTGGCGACAGAAAACTCTTCTGATGTTTTCCCAGCGCTTCTGATGTTGCCGCTGATGTTTTACAGGAAATGGGGAGGGAAGCTTTTTGTTCATTCCAACGTTCACATCCAGGAACCAAAGGGCTGGATGAAGAATTTGGGCAGACAGTAGCACTCGAATCCATCACATTTCAGCATCAAACAATACAACCACTGTCCTGTTTCTTTCAGGCCTAAAACAATACAGTCAGAGGCTCATGGGAACACGGTACGTTTCATGGTTCAGTGGAGACTGGAAGCCCAATTCCGAAGTACGTTTGGTAGCCAACAACAATATTTTCATATAGTCTTCAAAGGGAGTCCCACACAGCAAAAATTACAGTAGCCAAACCCAGAGATTTCCAAAGAACAGACTCAAATACATAGTGTAAACAACCATTAGTACATATCTTCGGCTATATTTTCAGTGTGGAAAGTTTACTCACAGTTTGCTCTCTGCTTCCTCCTCCTTCACTCACATTCCATGTCCCTCTCTCGTGTCACTTGTTGGAAACCTTGAAAGCCAACGGCAAAAGAAGTCATCTTAAGTTACTAATCAGGCAATTTTTTCAGATTCTTTTTCATCACCCATCCAAAAACGGGATTTGTTACATGGATTGTGCCTTTAAAGCAAATAGGGTTCGTTTTGACCAGAACATATGGAGCTGCGAAGCCAGTATTCAAAGCACCATTACTCTCTCGTTCAGCGTTTCTCAACCTTGGGGTCGGGACCGCGGGGGGAGTGTCACAAGGGGGGTGTCAGAGGTGCTGCCAAAGACCATCAGAAAACACAGTATTTTTTGTTGGTCATTTGAGTTCTGTGTGGGATGTTTGGCCCAATTCTATCTTGGTTGGGGTTCAAAATGCTCTTTGGTTGTAGGTGAACTATAAATCCCAGCAACTATGACTCCCAGATGTCAAGGATCTATTTTCCCCAAACTCCACCAGTGTTCACATTTGGGCAAATAGAGTATTTGTGCCAATTTTGGTCCAGATCCTTCATAGTTTGAGTCCACAGTGCTCTCTGGATATAGGTGAACTACAACTCCAAAATTCAACATCAGTGCCCACCAAACCCTTCCAGTATTTTCTGTTGGTCATGGGAGTTCTGTGTGCCAAGTTTGGTTCAATTTCATCGTTGGCGGAGTTCAGAATGCTCTTTGATTGTAAGTTAACTATAAATCCCAGCAGCTACAACTCCCAAATGTCAAGGTCTATTTCCCTCAAACTCCACCAGTGTTCACATTTGGGCATATTTGGGTATTTGTGCCAAGTTTGTCCAGATCTATCATTGTTTGAGTCTACATTGCTCTCTGCATGTAGGTGAACTACAACTCCAAAACTCAAGGTCAAAGCCCACCAAACCCTACCAGTATTTTCTGTTGATCATGGGAGTTCTGTGAGTCAAGTTTGGTTCAATTCCATCATTGGTGGAGTTCAGAATGGCATTGACAAACTGATGCCAGTCAAACTGCCCAGGGAAGTTTCTATCTCCAAATGAAAACTTTTCTGTTCTGACAAACATTTATTAGGAACTGACTGCGAAGACTTTTAATACTATACTATTTGACTGACTACTTTTTATTATCTATAGTTAAATTGGATATTAAAATAGTTTTTGTATCAAATTATGTTTTGTTAGGCACCCCTGGTGGTGCAGTGGATTAAACTGCTGAGCTGTTGAACTTGTTGACCAAAAAGTTGGTGGTTGAAATCTGGGGAGTGGAGTGACCTCCCGCTGTCAGCCCCAGCTTCTGCCAACCTAGCAGTTTGAAAACATGCAAATGTGAGTAAATCAATAGGTAATGCTTCTGCAGGAAGGTAATGGCACTGCTGGATTTGTACACTTGGTCCAAATCTGTTATTTTGTTAGTGTATTCATATGCTTTTTTCTCCATGTAATTTTGATGCTGTTGCTTGTTGTTTATGTTTTGGTTTTATTTGGTTTTATGTTGTCCGGGCTTGGCCCCATGTAAGTCGCTCTGAGTCCCCATTGGGGAGATGGTGGCGGGGTATAAATAAAGATTGTTGTTGTTGTTGTTGTTGTTGTTGTTATTATTATTATTATTATTATTATTATTATTATTATTATTATTCTGTCCGGGAAGTGATGAGACTTTAACTGGCAAAGAAGGAGGCAGAACTAGTAGTTGCTACAAAACCCCTTTTCTCCCCACCACACCCCCTAAGCAGAAGGCAGACAACATCTATTAAAAACACAACATAACAGTAGCCAAATTAGAGTTATGAACTAGCAACAAAAATAATTTTATGGTTGGAGGTCAGTGTTGATGTGGAGATTGTCTGTTTTGCCTACTCTGGAACATTCAACATATTAGTGTACTTTCAAATCTATGATACTATATCTGTGTGCGTGTGAATCATATCTCTCTATATCTATGGCTGGAGGGCTCTTTGTCAGGAGGGCTTTGGTTATGTTTTCTTGCCTTGGTGAAGGGAGTTGGACTCAATGGCCTTGAGTATTTTCTATTGGTCATGAGGGTTCTGTGTGGGAAGTTTTCCCTAATTCTGTCTTTGATGGGGTTCAGAATGCTCTTTGATTGTAGGTGAACTATAAATCCCAGTAACTACAACTCCTGAATCTCAAGGTCTATTTTCCTCAAACTCCATCTGTGTTCATATTCAGGCATATTGAGTATTCATGCCAAGTTTGGTCCAGATCCATCATTGTTTGAGTCTGGTTCAATTCCATCGTCGTTGGGTTCAGAATGCTCTTTGATTGTAGGTGAACTATAAATCCCAGCAACTACAACTACAAAATTATTTTTTTTTAGTGATGGTCAATCCTTGGGTTAGTAGGTGTCTTGTGGCCAAATTTGGTGGCAATTTGTCCAGTGGTTTTTGAGTTATGTTAATCCCACAGACAGACATTACATTTATATGTATATACATTTCGGACATTTGTATCCTGTCCTATCTCGACCTCTGCTGAGGTACTCAGGGCAGCTAACACCATGGTGCCCACTACCAAAAGCGTAAATACTAGGCCTGGGCGGTTTCGTTTCGTTAATTCGTAATTCGTTAATAATTCGTTAATTTTTCCAATTACAAAACGATAACGAACCATTCTGGAGCAATCATTAAAAAAACCGAATTTTTAAACACGTTTTGTAAATGCTTCGTATTTCGTTATTGTATTCGTTTCGTTATTGTTCAGAGGTCGTTTCGTTATTATTTCCGCATGTCTGGGCCAGTTTTATGGTTTAATTAGTGAAAAAAAATTATAATATCACACCAACAGTCAAGAACAGAGGGAGAGGGAAGCTTCAGAAGGTTTTGGAGGTTTTTTAGCGTATTTCGCGGTCGCGTCCGCCATTAACGAATCGATTCGTTATTGTTTCGGAAATCGATTCGTTAATTTTTTACCATTTACGAAATTTCGTAAATATCGAACTTTTTAAAAGGAAAATTTTGTCATTATTTTAAATATCGAAACAAAAAAAACCCCCCAAATACAAATCGATTTTAGAAACAAATTTTTCCGTTGTTACCCAGGCCTAGTAAATACACAATTTAAATAAAAACAATATAATAACAGTATAAAAACATTCAAACAGTCAAACAGTCGTCGGTTTAAGTCATCGTCCTAAAAGCAGTCCGTCAAGTCCAACACTGACAAAGAAACAGCAAGAAATACTGTTTACCCACAAGCATCAAGAAATTATATATATTAAAACCCAACACTTTCTCATTACTTTGTTTTCTATATCACCAGACTGGGCCACAGCAACGCGTGGCAGGGGACGGCTAGTAAATAATAATAATAATAATAATAATAATAATAGAAAAATGCTATTAGGAGGTGGGTGCTCCTCTTTCGGTTAAAAGATAAGGCACTGATTTCTCTTAACCAATGTCCATCTTGGCTGAAAAGTATAAGTAGGGTCTCATCAAAGGAAAACCTAAAAAGGACTTTTACCTCTTGGAATTGCTGTCTTTTCTGGAAGACCAGAAACACCATCCAGAATCTTGCAGCCAGTATAGCAAGTGGCCATATTAGGTCAGATTCTTTGTTTATCTACACTAGTATTGTCGACTTTGACTGGTCACAGCTTTCTGGTAGTTCTTCCTATTTCCTTGTACCTGATCCTTTCAAAATTGAGCTTTTTAAACAGGGTTTCTTCATGGTCGTCCTTCTCTAGATACGAGGGTTCAATAAAAAGTAATGCTCCCACCTTTGTAACTCCTCAATAGATGGAAGCACTGGTTTTGACCTATAAAGCTCTATACAGTTCTGGCCCAGCTTACTTGTCCAAACGCATCTGCCTCTATGTCCCATCTCGCAACCTAAGATCATCCAGCGAGGCCCTGCTCTCGCTTCCGTCAACATCACAAATGTGTTTGGCAGGGCCGAGAGACAGGGCCTTCTCGGCTGTGGCCCCCCGCCTATGGAATGCACTCCCAAATGAAATAAGATTGACTCCATCCCTCCTGGCCTTCAGAAAAAAAATTAAATTGTGGTTTTGGGACCAGGCCTTCGAGCAGCAGACGTAAATAGCACCATAATGGACATTGACTGGAATGGCATTGCGGCAGATGACATTGTGACTTTGTTTTATTGTTTTAATTAATGTTATATGATTGTTTTATATTTGATTGTGTTATATTATTGTAATTGTGATGCAGCGGTCTTGCACCGTTACTAATGTAAGCCGCCCTTCGGGGATTGAGAAGAGACGGGGTACAAAGGCCAGTAATCTATATAAATAAAAATGCAATGTTCGTTTGTGGGATTAACGGAACTCAAAAACCACAGGACGAATTGACACCAAATTTGGACAACATACACCTAACAACCCAATGTATTTCCTTCACTCAAAAAGAATTGATGTTGTCATTTGGGAGTTGTAGTTGCTGGGATGTATTGTTCACCTATAATCAAAGAGCATTCTAAACTCCATCAACGATGGAATTGAACAAAACTTGGCACACAGAACTCCCATGACCAACAGAAAATACTGGAAGGGTTTGGTGGGCATTGACCTTGAGTTTGGGAGTTGTAGTTCACCTACATCCAGAGAGCACTGTGGACTCAAACAATGATGGATCTGGACCAAACTTGGCACAGATACTTAATATGCCCAAATGTGGAGACTGGTTGAGTTTGGGGAAGATAAACATTGACACTTGTGAGTTGTAGTTACTGGGATGTATAGTTCACCTACAATTGAAGAGCATTCTGAACCCCAATGAACCTCCCACACAGAACCCCCATGACCACCAGAGTAGGCCACAGCAACGCGTGGCAGGGGACAGGTAGTAAATAATAATAAATAAATATACGGTTCCATACAACTGTTCAATGCTAAGGCTTCCCGCCAAAATGGAACTGTAGAGGAGTGTCTACTGAACAAGCCAGTACCTGCCGCATACCAGTACTGCCATTTGTTGAGGAGTTACGAAGGTGGAGGCATTACTTTTCATTCAACCCTCGTACATTATAATGTGTAAATATCCTTCTTGAACTGGACACAATATTGCATGTGAGGTCCAACCAAAGCAGAATAGGTAAAGTAAAGCTTTCCCCTTGACATTGAATCTAGTCGTGTCCGACTCTGGGGGGTGGTGCTCATCTTCATTCTAAGCCAAAGAGCCGGTTTGTTCGTAGACGCTTCCAAGGTCATGCGGACTGCATGGAACGCCATTACTTTCCTGCAGAAGCATTACCTATTGATCTACTCCAGTGGTTCTCAACCTTCTTAATGCCGCGACCCCTTAATACAGTTTCTCATGTTGTGCTGACCCCCAACCATAAAATTATTTTCGTTGCTACTTCATAACGGTAATTTTGCTACTGTTAAGAATTGTAATGTAAATAAATGATATGCAGGATGTATTTTCATTTACCAGACCAAATTTGGCACAAATACCCGATACGTCCAAATTTGAATACTGGTGGGGTTGGGGGCAGGATTGATTTTGTCATTTGGGAGTTATAGTTGCTGGGATTTATAGTCAACCTGCAATCAAAGAGCATTCTGAACCCCACCAATGATGGAATTGAACCAAACTTGGCACACAGAACTCTCATGACCAACAGAAAATACTGGAAGGGTTTGGTGAGCATTGATCATGAGTTTTGGAGTTGTAGTTCACCCATATCCAGAGAGCACTATGGACTCAAAGAATGATGGATCTGGACCAAACTTGGCACAAATGCTCAATATGGCCAAATGTGAACACTGATGTAGTTTGGGGGAAACAGACCTTGACTTTAGGGAGTTGTAGTTGCTGGGATGTATAGTTCACCTACAACCAAAGAGCATTCTGAACCCCATAGATGATATAATTGGGTCAAACTTCCCACACAGAACCCCAATGCCCAACAAAAAATACTGTGTTTTCTGATGGGCTTTGGCGACCCCCCTGACACCCCTCACGATTCTCTCAGGGGTCCCGACCCCCAGGTTGAGAAACACTGATCTACTCACATTTGCATGTTTTCGAACTGCTAGGTTGGCAGAACCTGGGACTAATACTGCTCACACTGCTCACTGGATTCAAACCACCAAGCTTTCGGTCAGCAAGTTCAGCAGCTCAGCAGTTTAACCCACTGCACAACCAGGATCTCCAAAAATAAAAAAAAGCAACTCCTATTGATACAGCCTAAAATTGCATTGGTTTTTAAAGCTAATGCAATACACTGTTGACTTGTGTTCAGTTTGTGGTTATGTCCCAGTAGCATCCAGGCATCAATCTGACTACTATCCACTTGTGAGTAGGTCTCAGGGAACTCAATGGTAATTTATTTCCAAGTAAACGTACTTGGAAATGCCTTTCATTGAATTTACTTCTTCTTATTCCCTCCCATATTCCCATTTGTGCACCTTTAAGGAACATCATTGCTACTCAAATGTGGTAGTCCATGCACAAATTCCGGTCCCTATACTATTGTCTGCCCATCCCTACCAAGTTTCCAGAATATAAAGAAACAATTGTACTCAATGTGTTGCTAAAGGTTTTCGTGGCTAGAATCACTGGGTTGCTGTGAGCTTTCTGGTCTTGTAAGGCCATGTTCCAGAAGCATTCTCTCCTGACATTTCACCCACATCTATGGCAGGCATCCTCAGAGGTTGTGAGGTCTGTTGGAAACTAGGCAAGTTTAGTACAATATAGTAATATTTAATACTGATATTGTACTATTCTAATAATATAACATATTGTATGTATTTATATATCTCGTAAGCCGCTTTGAGTCCCCTTCGAGGTGAGAAGGGCGGCATATTAATGTCGTAAATAAATCAATAAATAGGCAAGTGAGGTTTATATATCTGTGGAATAATGTCTAGGGCGGGAGAAAGGATTCTTGCCTGCTTGAAGCAAGTGTGAATGTTGCAATTGGCCAGCTTGATTAGCATTGAATAGCCTTGCAGCTTCAAAGCCCGGCTGCTTCCTGCCTGGGAGAATCCCTTGTTGCAATACCCGAACATGAATCAAGGAACATGAAAGGCACTGCAAACTAACTCAACCTGAGAAGTCAGCCATAGCAGAGCACCTGATGAACCAACCTGGACACAGCATATTATTTGAGAACACAGAAATGCTGGACCACTCTCACAACCAACATGCCCGACTACACAGAGAAGCCACTGAAATCGACAAGCCTGTGGACAATTTCAAGAAAGGAGAAAACCATGAAAATGGACAAAATCAGTCTACCAGTATTTAAAAAACCTCCAAAATCAGGACAGTAAATAAAGAACACTTAGAAGACAGGGGAATTCCAGACAAGAAACAATCAGGGCCAGTTAACACCTCCCACCAATGATTCCCTTAGGCAGGAAGCAGCCAGGCTTTGAATCTGCAAGGCTATTCAATACTAATCAAGCTGGCCAATTGCAACATTCACACTTTCCTCAAGCAGGCAAGAGTTCTTTCTCCCACCCTGGACCTTCCTCAGCCAGGCTTTGAAGCTGCAAGGCTATTCAATACTAATCAAGCTGGCCAATTGCAACATTCACACTTGCCTCAAGCATACAAGAGTTCTTTCTCCCATCCTGGACACTCCAGAAACATATATAATTCCAATTTTCCTAGTTTCCAACAGACCTCACAACCTTTGAGGATGCCTGCCATAGATGGGGGTGAAAGATCAGGAGAGAATGCTTCTGGAACATGGCCAGACAGCCCAAAAAATGACAACAATCCAGTGATTCCAGCCATGAAAGCCTTCGACAAGACCTCACAACCTTTGAGGATGCCTGCCATAGATGTGGGAGAAATGTCAGGAGAGAATGCTTCTGGAACATGGCTAGATACCCCCCCCCCCCAAAACTACAACAACCCAGTGATTTCAGCCATGAAAGCCTTTGACAACATATTTGAGGTGATTTCACCTTGAATAGACAGCGAAGAGCTTCTAATATTACAACAAATCCATCCTCAAGTGTTGGTGCAAATTTCTATTCCAACTGGGTTGTTGTGTGTTTTCTCGCCATGTTGCAGAAGCATTCTCTCCTGATGTTTTGCCCACATCTTGTCAGGATACATCAGGAAAGAATGCTTCTAGGACATGGCCAGACAACCTGGAAAACTCACAACAACTCAGTGATTCCAGCCATGAAAGCCTTTGACAACAAATTTGAGATGACTTCACCTTGAATAAGCAGCGAAGAGCTTCTAATGTTACAACAAATCCATTCTCACGTTTTGGTGCAAATTTCTATTCCAACTGGGTTGTTGTGTGTTTTCTGGCCATGTTCCAGAAGCATTCTCTCCTGATGTTTTGCCCACATCTTGTCAGGAAACGTCAGGAGAGAATACTTCTGGGAAATGGCCAGACAGCCTGGAAAACTCACAACAACCCAGTAATTCCAGCCATGAAAGCCTTCGACAACAAATTGCTTCTAAAGTTATAACAAATCCATTCTCACATATTGTCAAGAAAAGTCAGGAGAGAATGCTTCTGCAACATGGCCAGACAGCCCGGAAAACTCACAGCAACCCAGTTGGAATAGAAATTTGCACGAACACTTGAGGATGGATTTGTTGTAACATTAGAAGCTCTTCACTGTCTATTCAAGGTGAAGTCCCCTCAAATTTGTTGTTGAAGGCTTTCATGGCTGTAATTAGTGTGTTGCTGTGAGTTTTCCGGGCTGTCTGGCCATGTTGCAGAAGCATTCTCTCCTGACATTTCCTGACAAGATGTGGCATTGAAGCTGCAAGGCTATTCACAACTCACAACAACCTAACTATTCCGGGCATGAAAGTCTTCGACAATACAATAACCCAACTGTACTGCCATCACATAGTTTAAGACGCGCCGAAGTACATAACACTAAGCTCTCCTTGCCACCCATTCCCATTTGAAGACAGTGAGAACTTCTCCGAACACCTACTCTTCCAGCTGTGGGCATAAAGTGATCTGTGTGCCTTGGAGTTGGGCTTCCCCCAGCGGGCGCTGGGCACCACCATGTCCATTGCTGGTCACATACAAGAGTTTTGTTTCGCCTGTCCTGTTGCTGGAGCTGCTGCTGGTGCTGCTGGTGCCGTTGTCGTCCTCCTCCTCGTCCTCTTCCTCCTCTCTCATGGCAACAGGGGCACCCATCTTCTTCTCCAGCAAGGCCTGTGGTCCAAAGCCAGAAGGCCGTCTGTGGAGGTCCTTGGCGATGGCGTGGAGGCGGCAATCCACACTCCGAGGGCAACACAACAGTTTCTTGAAGGCACACCGGAAATCAGGGCTGCGGCAATAGATGATGGGGTTGAACGCCGAGTTGACATACCCCAGCCAGTTGAAAAAGCGGAAGAGCTGGTCAGGGACTAAGGATCTGGCAAAGACATTGATGATGTTGGCCACGAAGAAGGGCAGCCAACAAAGAGTGAAGATGCCCATAATGATGCCCAGGGTCTTGAGGGCCTTGTGCTCCTTGATGGCCGACAAGAGGCGAGAGGGACGGCGGCGGCGACCCTCTGGGAGGAAGCGGCCCTTGTCCTTCTCAATGAGGTGGAGCTGGCGGGTGGCCACGGCGAAGACCCGGGCATAGACGAAGACCATGACCAGGAGGGGCACGTAGAAGGAGATGATGGAGGACAGAATGGCGTAGGGCATGTTGGTGACGAAATCGCAGCATTGAGGATCCCGGTAGCAGCGCAGGGCTTCCTCGTCGGCGCTGTCGCGCCACCAGTGGTTCATGATGGGCAGGAAGGAGATGAAGGCGGCCACGGCCCACACCAGGCAGACCACGCCACGTGCCCGGCTCTTAGTGATGAGCATCTCGTACTGCAAGGGGGCCGTGATGGCTAAGTAGCGGTCCACGGCGATGGCGCAAAGGGTCTCGATGCTGGCCGTGACGCACAGCACGTCCAGCGACGTCCAGAGCTCGCAGGCGGTGGTGCCGTAGGGCCAGCGCCCACTCAGGACCAAAGTGGCCCCTGGAGGAACCACCAGCAGGCCCATGATGAGGTCGGCGCAGGCCAGCGACGTGATGAAGACGTTGGTCAAGGTCTGCAAGCGGGGCGTCTTGGCGATGGCAACGATGACCAAGAGGTTGCCTCCCACTGTCACCAGCACTGCCACGCTGAAGGTGGCACCCAAGGCTGCTTGCCAACCTAGAGCCTCCAAGGGCCAGGAGCAGTTGCCCCAAGTGGGCCAGGTCCCATTAGGGGGCCACACGGGCCCCATAGCTTGCTCCTTTCCTTCCAAAGGGGTCGCTGGCGGCTCAGGGCGCTTCTTCCCACGCGCGACCCATGCTGTCAGCTGGAGACTGGAAGCTCCTTTCCCTTCGACGGGCATCGCAGGGAAGGAGAGGAGGAGGAGGAGCTCTTAAAGGCGCAACTCCACGGAGACGCCTCCGGGTGGGTCCCCCGCCTCTCCCCCGCCTCCCTGTGGCCCCTCCCCACCCGGCGTGGAACGTAGCTCCTTAGTCCTGAGTCCTTTGCAAACTCCTGTGTGGTCCTGTACCTTTTCCATAGTGAAGAGCCATGAGACTAGTGGTTCTCAACCTTCCTATTGCCACGACCCCTTAATACAGTTCCTCATGTTGTGGTGACCCCCCAACCATAAAACCATTTTCATTGCTACTTCATAACTCAAATTTTGCTACTGATATCAATTGTAATGTAAATATCTGATGTATTTTCATTTACTGGACCAAATTTGGCACAAATACTCAATACACCCAAGTTTGAATACTGGTGGGGTTGGGAGTGGATTGTTTTTGTCATTTGGGAGTTGTAGTTGCTGGGATTTATAGTTTACCTACCACCAAAGAGCAATCTGAACTGCACCAATGATGGAATTGAACCAGTCTTGGCACACAGAACATGACTAACATAAGATACTGGAAGGGTTTGATGTGCATTGATCTTGAGTTTGGGAGTTGTAGTTCACCTAAATCCAGAGAGCACTGTGGACTCAAACAATAATAGATCTGGTGCCTAGTTTGGTCCAGATCCATCATTGAGTCAACAGTGCTCTCTGGATGTAGGTGAACTACAACTCCAAAAAACAAGGCCAATTGCCTAGTCCCCATTGGGGGAGATGGTGGCGGGCAGGGGAGGCTCAACCCATTACGCAAAGTAAGCATTTGCAGTATAGTTGATTTTGCCCAGGGGCTCTCTTGAGGCGCTCTTGGGGGAAAATAGACCTTGACATATGAGTTGTAGTTACTATCTATCTATCTATCTATCTATCTATCTATCTATCTATCTATCTATCTAAAATGCTCTGTGCATAATGAGTACCTTAAAAACAAAAGAACCAATGAACGAAATCACACCAAATTTGGCAACAAAACGTCTCACAACACAAGGAGTGACCATCACTCAAAAAATTATGATTTTGTCATTTGGGAGTTGTAGTTGCTGGGATTTATAGTTCACCTACAATCAAAGAGCATTCTGAACTCCACCAATGATGGAATTGAACCAAATATGGCACAGAACTCCCACAACGAACAGAAAATATATATCAGTGATTGGTTGGGGGTGGGGTCGCCGAAACACTGTTTGCTTACCGTTGAAAATTACCTAGGGCTGCCTCTGCCTGTGTGCCATGTTCAGTTCCATTCCATCATTGGCAGGGGCGGCAAAGTAAGCATTTGCAGTATAGTTGATTTTGCCCAGGGGTGCTCTTGAGGTGCTTTTGGGGGAAAATAGAGCTTGGCATATGTGAGTTGTAGTTACTGAGATGTATAGTTCACCTATTATCAAAAAGCATTCTGAACTCCACCACTGATGGAATTGAACCAAATATGGCACTCAGAACTCCCACGACAAACAGAAAATATATATCAATGATTGGTTGGGGGGGGGGGGCGCCGAAATACAGTTTGCTTACCGTTGAAAATTACCTAGGGCCGCCTCTGATCATTGGTGGAGTTCATAATGCTCTTTGTTTGTAGGTTAACTATAAATCCCAGCAACCACAGCTTCCAAATTACAAAATCCCTTTTTTTAGGTGATGGTCATTTGTTGGCCAGATAGGTGTACTGTGTCCAAATTTGGTGTCAATTCACCCAGTGGTTTTTGAGTTATGTTAATCCCACAAACGAACATTACATTTTTATTTATATAGATAGCAGAGGCTAACCGAGGGTACAGTTGTAATATATTTCAAAGCACAAACAAAGTTTAAAAACTTTGCATTATGCTAAATGTCCTTTGACCAGCAGCTGACCACTTGGAGTGACTCAGGTGTTGCTATAACAGTGTTTCTCAACTTTCCTAATGTTGTGACCCCTTAATACAGTTCTGCATGTTGTGGTGACCTCCAACCATAACATTGTTTTCGTTGCTGCTTCATAACTCTAATTTTGCTACTGTTATTAATCGTCATGTAAATATCTCATATGCAGGATGTATTTTCATTCACTGGACCAAATTTGGCACAAATACCCGATATGCCCAAATTTGAATATTGGTAGAGTTGGGGGGAATTCATTTTGTTATTTGGAAGTTGTAGTTGCTGGAATTTATAGTCCACCCATATTCAAAGAGCATTCTCAACTCCATCAACTATGGAATTGAACCAAAGTTGGCACACAGAACTCCCAGGACCAACAGAAAATGCTAGAAGGGTTTGGTGGAAAACTAAAACACTAGAAGGGTTTCATGGGCATGGTCCTTGAGTTTTAGAGTTGTAGTTCACCTGCATCCAGAGTGCACTGTGGACTCAAACAATGAGGGATCTGGACCAAACTTGACACAAGTACTCAGTATGCACAAATGTGAACACTGGTGGAGTTTGGGGAAAATAGACCTTAACTTTTGAGAGTTGTAGTTGCTGGGATGTATAGTTCACCTACAATCAAAGACCATTCTGAACCCCACCAATGAGAGAATTGGGTCAAACTTCCCACACAGAAAACCCACAACCAACAAAAAATTCTGTGCTTTCTGACGGTTTTTGGCGACTCCTCTGACACCCCCTCATGGCCCTCCCAGGGGTCCCGATCCCCTGGTTGAGAAACCTGTACCCCCTGAACCATGCTGGCCTGGGCAATCGAGGAAATGTGAGTCCAAAACAGCAACATTTCCGAGCCAAAGTAACGCTTGCAATTCCTGCGATAAAGTCAAGCCAAGCAAGAACGGCTGGAGGTGCTGAAATGTGTCTCGGCGAAGGGCTCTGTGCCAATTTGCCTTGGCAGGAGAAATGCCAAAGGATTAGCGGATGTGAACTGTAAGTATGGGAGAAACTCTACTTTGGGAGGAGAGAGTGAGGAGGAGAGGAAAGATTGGCATTTTTATGACTTATTCACTGGCAAGGTGGAAGTCTTCTCTGCTTGGGAAAAAAGAAAACAGTGCTTGGGATCTATTCCACTTCTTTGGAAGGGTACATATGTGCTTTCGTAGCTTCTGGCTGTCACTTTACATCATTATTCTTCTCAGGAATTGATCTTCCTCATGTCACGAAGTAGGCATAACAAGGAAGAAGAGAGCTGGGATTTATTTATTTATTTATTGTGTCAGTATCAACCAGACAATTGTATTACATTTTTAACAATTTTTAACAAACAGACAAAACTGAGTTTGCAAGCTTGGTAGTTGATTAAATGTCCTTTGACCAGTATCTGGCCACTTGGAGTGCCTCTGGTGTTGCTGCAAGAAGGTCCTCCATTGTGCATGTGGCAGGGCTCAGGTTGCATTGCAGCAGGTGGTCAGTGGTTTGCTCTTCTCCACACTCGCATGTCATGGATTCCACTTTGTAGCCCCATTTCTTGAGGTTGGCTCTGCATCTCGTGGTGCCAGAGCGCAGTCTGTTCAGTGCCTTCCAAGTCGCCCAGTTTTCTGTGTGCCCAGGGGAGAGTCTCTCATTTGGTATCAGACATTGATTGAGGTTCTGGGTTTGAGCCTGCCACTTTTGGACTCTCGCTTGCTGAGGTGTTCCAGCGAGTGTCTCTGTAGATCTTAGAAAACTATTTCTAGATTTAAGTCGTTGACATGCTGGCTGATACCCAAACAGGGATGAGCTGGAGATGTCTCTGCCTTGGTCCTTTCACTATTGGCTGCTACTTCCCGGCGGATGTCAGGTGGTGCAATACCGGCTAAGTAGTGTAATTTCTCCAGTGGTGTAGGGCGCAGACACCCTGTGATAATGTGGCATGTCTCATTAAGAGCCACATCTACTGTTTTAGCATGGTGAGATGTGTTCCACACTGGGCATGCATACTCAGCAGCAGAGTAGCATAGGGCAAGGGCAGATGTCTTCACTGTGTCTGGTTGTGATCCCCAGGTTGTGCCAGTCAGCTTTCGTATGATATTGTTTCTAGCACCCACTTTTTGCTTGATGTTCAGGCAGTGCTTCTTGTAGGTAAGAGCACGGTCCAGAGTGACTCCCAGGTATTTGGGTGGCTGCAATGCTCCAGTGGGATTCCTTCCCAGGTGATCCTCAGAGCTCGGGATGCTTGTTTGTTCTTGAGATGAAAAGCACATGTCTGTGTTTTAGATGGATTAAGGATCAGCTGGTTTTCCCTGTAATAGGCAGTAAGAGCACCTAGAGCTTCGGAGAGCTTCTGTTCTACCATCTCAAAGCTCCCTGCTTGAGCAGTAATGGCACGATCATCAGCATAGATGAAGCTCTCCGTCCCTTCTGGCAGTGGCTGTAAATGTTGAACATGGACGGAGCAAGCACGCTCTCCTGAGGCAGGTCGTTCTTCTGTTTCCGCCATCTGCTTCTCTGGCCCTGGAACTCAACAAAAAAGCTCCTGTTTTGTAGCAGGTTTCCTATGAGGGGTGAGGTGGTAGTCCTTTGTGATGTTATACATTTTTCTCAGGAGGAGACGGTGGTTCACAGTATCATAAGCCGCTGACAGGTCTATGAAGACAGCTCCTGTGATCTGCTGCCTTTCAAAGCCATCTTCTATGTGCTGAGTCAGGTTCAGCACTTGCGATGTGCAGCTTTTGCCTTTCCTGAAGCCAGCTTGCTGTGGGATCAGACATGGGCCTATTTTTTTCCGTAATTCTATGCAAAATAAGTCTCTCCTGAACTTTGTAAAGATGGCATAACAGGGAGACTGGTCTATAGCTTTTTGGGTCATTACGGTCTTTGCCTGGCTTCAAGATGGCAATGACTCTTGCTTTCCTCCAGCTTTTGGGGATCTGACAGGATACAGTGTAGTTGTTCATCAGCTCCAGCAGCCAGCACCTTGCTTTTGGACCAAAGTTCTTGATTTGTTCCATCCGTAGATCATCCAGGCCAGCTGCTTTGCCATTTTTACATTTATTGAGAGCCATGTCCAATTCAGTAGATGTAAAGGGTTCTTGAAGAGCTGGGATGTAGCCGTATCTTTAAAT